CCGCTGGGAACCGTAGTCCGCCCCCCCGGCCGGGCCTGCGGGCGGCGGGCGGCCAGAACTACCCGCCCCAGCGCGCCCGGGGCGGCGTCCCTCGCCGTGCCGGTGCCGCCGGGAGGAGTTCCGGGCGTGGGGTTTTTCCTTCTGAAGTTATTGTGCAAGGCGGCAGGTGTGTAAAATCCCGTGTGCACGTATCGCTGATGGCGGGTTACCAGCGGCTGGAAGGGGCGTGAAGTGCTCATCGGGAGTTAATATTAGGCACAAGCCAGACAGCGGGGACTGTGGCCTGGTAGCAGGGAGCTTGCCTCTCTGACCGACCTGTACCTGGCGAACGCTGAAGTCGACAGAAACAAAATGACAAATTCTGGCGGTTTTCCTGTATTCATTGAATGGCTAGAAATTCACTTTTTCTTCATTGGAATCAGGGTTTATCAACTATGCCCTTTCTCCACAGCTTTTCTGTCCCCTGGAGAGGTGCTTTGGTGCGCCGAACTGCAGGTTTCCCTTCTCCACAGAAGACGAGGAGGTCCTCTTCGTCGTGACAGCCAAGCCCAGCATGACTCGCGGTCACTCCAAGCAGAGTTCAGGCTCCCGTGCCTTGTATTTGTCACAAGCTATTTTTACTCTCGTAACCCACTCCGGCAAGCATCGTGGTTGTGGTCGGTTCTTTCCCTCCACCCCCAAATCCTTCCAAGTGGAATAAAGCCTTCCACCCAAAAATACGCGCTGGACTTCCAGCTACGCTATGGATACGTGCAGTTAGTATTTGTCAGCAGCCGAAGGGGCACATACTCAGCAAAGGGGTCATGTAATTCAGGTCTGTTTGCCAAGGGATTTCTAGGGCTGGAAGCGTTTTGGAGCAGGCAGGGGGTTCCTGAGGATAGTGCCAGCGTGCTTTAGGAACAACCGCTCTAGGCATCCATCAGACTCAGCCACTTTTGCACTTGTGGAAAGAGCCGACTCCCACTTTAAGTTTTAGTGAGGGGGGAAAAAACCCTACATGTTTTCTCTTCCTAAGTACCTGGTTTCCTGAGACACTACTGTTCACGATATAGTTTCATATTTCTTCAACAAAAACATGGGGTCCTGCTCAGCCTGCTGTACCTTTAGCACAGATTCATCCTGTACACTGTATAGCTTTATATGGCTGATCAGTAGTTTTGCACCCAAAGATTGGTGCTTGCAATAGTTTTTAAATCTGTAAACTGGAAAAATAAACATTCGATGATGTGACATTTAAGTGGCTTGTGCATGATTCTTCAGGAGGATTAAATCTACTGTGTCGACCTCGTCCATTTGCTCTAATAAAACAAGATTAACATTGCAGGTCATGGTTTTCTGAGGAGGAGTACCATGGGGTTAGGTACCTACACCCTGCATTAGGTTTCATAGATATTTGCTGACAGTGGGGAAAAGGTGAGAGTCAGATGGGGATTCTTGGGCTCCATTTCAGTGCAGAAGAGGAGTATCCTCCACAGAGCACAAATGCTTTCTCCCCTCCTTCCCCAGCCATCGCATCCTTCCACTAATGCCCCTCCAGTCTGTCTTTGCCCCGTCTCTGGGTGCTTGTTACAGCCCCACTTAGCACATCCAGCCAGTGCTAGTCTTCACTCTTCAGCATCACCCAAAAAAGTACTACTTTGCCCCTCCAGGCTCCAAGTCAGTGTTTGCAGTTCCTTTCTCCGCATCTAATGGATCCTAATTCTCCTGTCCTGCTCCCTCCTCCTAGCCGCATTCCCTACCTCCACTAGGCACCAGTCTCTCCCTCCAGCTCTTTCAGTCTCTGCTGAAGACAATCCCAGTTTGTTGCCCAGCCAGCCCAGGTCACCTCTCCACTTGTTTCCTGTCCCAGTCTCCCTAAACCCTATTTTCTTTACAGCTTTCAAAGTCTGCTCTTCTGCTTTTTCTCCTTGCTCCTACCTCTCCTGTACTTTTTGTGCAGTCTCTACTCCATCTGCATCTGATGCAGAGAACTCCCCGTGTGATGATGCCTGTGATGTGAGAATTGAAAACGGGGCTTTTTGGCTGAGTTTTCTGCCAGACCGCTGAAATGGAGCCAGATGAGAGCAGGCAGTGCAGCGTGCTGCAGAGGAGATGCCAACGCATGGCACAGGGTGACTGTGACATGCAGGGCAAAGCCGAAGTGGCCAGGGCACTGACTGGTTCTAGTCTAGGACTGGCTTAGGCTGCTTTGGCATTACAGCTGAGGATGTCAAGTCTCAGGCACAGCCGAGCCTGAGCTAACGGGCACAGGAATGGTGAGGCTTGGCCACGGAGCAAATTGCACTGTGGCAGCTGCTGCCGAACAAACCGGCTGCTCGTTTGAAGGGCTGAAGAAGGAGCAGGGACTGCACAGGAATGCAGGCATTTGAAAGCGAGACAAACTTAGCTCTGGCTCATCCAGGGAAAATTTACCACTCATGGGGAGCGGCTAAATTACTTTTAGGGATTATGTTATCTGCTCACAGCTTGCTTTTTTTTTTTTTTTTTTGCCCCCAGCTGAGACATGTCAGGTAATCACAGGGTTGACTTACTCATGTGATCACAGTCTTAATCATTTGAAATTAACCTCTAGCATATGCTTAAAATCCTCTTTGTCTGCCATGAGGACTTGTGAAGCATGCATCAGTAAGATATCCAATAATTTTAAAAAATTAAGCATTACAGGGATTATGCCAGTTTGACAGTTCCAACTTGCATGTTTCAAAACTGGTAATATGTATCATAATTAGTGCTGACATCAGTTAACATGATAATGGGTATGTTATTTTGGTATCTTCCACTTCACAGTCCCAGATAATTTGCACGCTCCATGTACAACATAATTGTCTATCATTAGTATTGTGTGTCTATTTGTGCTAGGTCCCAATTTTCTGTCTGTATATAAATGGTCTTTCTGACCTACAATATTTTAGAGTGTATAAATGTGTTAGACTTTAACGAATGCTGAATCTATAAAATACAACACATTCAGCAGGTGTCCATGTTGGGAATGCTAATGTTTTACAATGACCCTTTGAGATGTGGAATCTCTCTTTCCTCTTGCAAAAGTGTGAGATGTTCGTTGTAGGATAGAGCAGGCAAAAGGAGGAATGTGCTTCAATTTATCTCATATAGGTGAGGAAAAATCACTATGTAATCTTTACTTACTCCTTTTCCTTCTTTTACAAAGAAAATGCATGGCCTTTTGCGGATTTCCTCCTCCTCCTCATTTCCTAGATAATAAGCTATGGACTATGTCCTAGAAGCATGGGGAGTCTCAATGGCCTTCGTGTATGCCACAAACTTCCACAAGGTGATCTACAAATCGCATCGACAGGTGATTTACAGATGACAGAATCACAGAGTCACAGACGGTTGAGGTTGGGATGCACATCTAGACATCACCCAGTCCATCACTGAAGGGTAAGCTGGAGCAGGCTGCCCAGTTGGGTTCTGAATGTCTCCAAGGATGGAGACTCCACAACCTCTCTGGGCAATCTGTGCCAGTGTTTGACCACCCTCACAGTAAAAAAAGTGTTTTCCTGTGTTCAGATTGAATTTTATGGTTTGTGACCATTGCCTCTTGTCTTGTCACTGGACACCACTGAGAAAAGTTTGTCTCTTCAGATATTTAAGCACATTGCTAAAAGCCTCCTGAGCCTTCTCTTCTCCAGGCTGATCAGTCTCAGCTCTCTCAACCTCTCCTCATATGAGAGATGCTCCAGTCCCTCAGTCGTTTTCATGGCCCTGAGCTGGACTTGTTCCAGTAGCTCCATATTTCCCCTGTACTGGGGAGCCCAGAGCTGGGCCAGGCACTCCAGCTGTGGCCTCACCAGTGCTGAGCAGAGAGGAAGGGTCACCTCCCTTGACCTGCTGGCAACGCTCGTCCTAGCGCAGCCCAGGTGGCTGTTGGATTTCTTTGCCCCAAGGGCACATTGCTGTCTCTTGCTCAGCTTGGTGTCCACCAGGACCTCCAGGTCCTTCTTGGCAAAGCAAGGCCACAAGATCTTTTTTCTGTTGCAATAAAAACAGTGTTATGACTCCTGAAATCAGATTGTTTTAGGCAAGACAAAGGAAAAGGTGTAAAGTATTTTTATTCATAAGTAATGGATACATGCTAAATGAAGCCTCTATTCCTTGTCTCTGTTGCTCTTGCCATCCTAGTCTTGTTCCTATTCTATCTCCTCCTCAGCATGTGGTAATTCTTCGTGTGGCAGAACTATTGGATATTTACAGCAGAGACGTGATGGTACCTATCAAAACGAGCAATAATTTTTTTGCTCCTTGTATTAGAAAGCTTCAGTTCACAGTTGTTACACCACCACGTTTTTTCTCCTATTTTAGGAGAAGGCACCAGTCTTTCAAAGTTCTACGCACATTTGAAAATGCATTGAATGACCCAATAGGAAGAAAACATTTATATTTACTTGTTTCATTCTCTGTAAGTTGTGCCTTAGGTTATGATCATAAGAATGTTGTATTATAGTAAATCTAAAGTATAAATCCACAAAATGCAAAACATATATCCAAAACATGTTGTTGTGGTCTACTTGACATAAGAAAAAAAAATTAATGCATTTTTTAAAAACAAGGCCAAAAATACTATGCTGATATTTCAATTCTGATAAACAAATAATGCAGTATTAGACAGTAAAAATACTAACAGAGGAAATACAATCCAGACATCATCACGGTCCTTTGGCAAAAACAAGAATTGCGCATATATTTATTTGTAAGTAAACAAGAACAAACTTTGCAGCTGCTAATTCAATTCATATTCCTGGAATCAAGCTGTAAACAAATGCTTGTATTTTTGTTTTAGAGGGTGGATGAGGTTCGGTAGCTTTCCATTGGTCTAAAAGAAGGAACATCTGTTGTGGCCATAAAAAACTTGATGATCAAGTTTACCACATCCCACATTAGCAACATTAGGCATTTAGGTTGAAATCCAGATCAGACTGAACTCAGTGAAAGTTTTGCCGTTAAATTTAGGGTGGCCTGGATTTCAAGCCAAAATCCAAAGCTTTAAAAACAATCACACAGTGAGTATTAAAAACAAAAGTAGGCTGATGCTGTGTGTAGGAAGCTATACACTGACTTGCCTAAAATAACATTCCAGTCTGGTTTACAAATAGCTTTATATTAGGAAGTACGTATCAAGACTTTCAGTTCTACAGAAGTGGATTGTATGTTTAAAAAGAAAACGTGATAAGAGCTGCTTTGGTTGGATCATAATATCAATATCACCATAGAGCAGAAT